TTTTTTTTCTTTTGACATTTTAATGTGAATTCCAGTCACTACTTTATAAGCTATGAATTTATATTCTACAAATAGCTGTACCTCATTTAAATTTTTACACAAGATGAAAATAGAAGCTTGAACAATTTTCCTGTTTGATAAACTTACTTTAGAGCTGTTAGAAAAGATGTGAAGCAAGAATCATACTGACATTCAGTTTGCTCTGTTTATGGGTTAAACAAAATGTTACCCTAGCCTTCTTTTTTCAGAGGTGATTATAAGCTGTCTGTGAAAACTGAGGTATTGAGATTTTAACAATGTGTGGGGATGGGGGTGTGTGCTCACACTCACAGAACTGACCACTGCTGAGTGTGAGTCAAAGCTGGCAGCTTCCTTTCCTGTGCACAAACAGACACTGCTGGGGACTCATCAGGATAGTGCTGTGCCCATGCACAGTCGGCCCTCAGTGTCAGCACTTATGCCCCGTCGTCAACAGCGCTACTGAAATCTCACTGCCCTGCAAATAACAAACCTCTGAGAGACACACAAGGACCCCAAAGCTTCTCTGTGGATACAGAAAGCACAGCACTTTGAGGCCTACTAGCCCTTGCTAACTTACCAGCACTGCCCATTTCCTCCCCGTGTTTTCCGTGTAATCTTTGGTTTGTTTGAACCTCTATTGAGTTCATTGTAGGAATCTGATGTTTTCACGGGACTGCATTTGCAAAGACCCATTTGGGGCAGGGGGGCATTTTCCTAGTAACCTTTTCTTAGTTGGCCACATTGAGCAGTACCATAGTGAGTGGGCAAAATTTAGTAATCATCCCATTTGGCTGATAGGTATGTAGTAGTTCGTTGTACTTATTTTCTCTAATTTGCATATATTTGAAGGATATTTGTGTGTGCTTGTGTGTGTCTGTGTCTGTCTGTGTGTGTCTGTGTCTGTGTGTGTGTCTGTGTCTCTGTGTGTGTGTGTGTGTGTGTGTGCGTCTGTGTCTGTATCTGTGTGTGTGTGTGTGTGTGTGTGTGTGTGTGTGTCTGTGTCTGTGTCTGTGTCTGTGTCTGTGTATAGAGAGAGAAAGAAAGAAGCAGGCTGCAATAACTACAGTTTGTCCAAATGTACTCTTCCTACCTTGTCTTATCAGTCCACCAACTCGTACAGGATCCTTGCTGTCACTACGCTTGGACAGCAAGGTTAACTAATTCCCAGCCAGAGTTATGTATTGCAAGACCTACCTCTCCCCCTCAAAACCGGGACATTCATAGACTTAATTCATTTTACATGAACATTAAAGTAAATAACTATTGTGTGTGGTCGGGGGTACTTTGTTTATATTAAAACCACAAAAAAATGCTAAAAAAAAAAAAAAGTCCTAGAACCTTTAAGAACTGCCAAAAACCTGAGTACAATGAGTACACAGACAACAATTGATTATAAAGAGGGTTTATTTTAAAGCACTTTAAAAAGAAACCAAAAACACTATCAATATTAAACACCAAATACTAGAGAAACATTAAACACTAGAGAAATCAAGATGTGGACTCAGAACAATTGCAAACTAAATGAAAGATCCTTCAAATGCTGCTGTGGAGGGACATGGCTTAATATCAGACAAGGAAAATTTGCATGTTTCAGTGCAGTATGGTATCATGTAACACATAAAAGTATGAGATGCTAATAAACATAAGATTAATCCAAGCAAATCACTTTCTCTTTTCACCTGTGTGGTGTCTTTCTGGTCCTTCTGTTGGCAGAGCCTAATAGGAACCAGAAATGTTTGCAAAATTCCAAAGGACTGTTTTTGGTCAGTTTTTTTCATTACTGTCTCGAAATACCAGAGACAGGTTAATATATAAAGAAAACATGTTTTATTTAGCTAATGGTTTTGGATTCTAAAAATTCAAATACACTGGTATAGGCTGATGAGGGCTCCACCTTGGCCACCTCACCTCCAAGTAGACTGAAATCTCAGGCACAGTGACTGCATAGTGGAACTGGAATCCAGACAAAAGCTTGGCTGAAACAAGGCCCAAGCCTGATAATCTTTCTTAGAACCCCCATTTGGCGTAATTGCCCACTAAGCCCCACCTCATAAAGCTTTCACCTTCTATCATCATATTAAAAGATCACATAAACCATTGAGGAAACAAATATCACAACCCCAGAAGTGGGCTGGAAACATCAAGAATTAACATGATGACCTGAATTGTCATACAATTGGACAATAATAAAAATTAATACTCTTGGAAGATCCTGTGGGTATACATGGAGATTTCCTGGGGGTACTGACTTCTCAGTAGGCTTTCTGCCTTGTGTAAAATTAATCCTGTTTCAAAACTTTGTCTCCCCTGTTGAGATTAACAGGAAGCGTTTACAGTCTCAGTAGTGTTTTGACAGGAAGCTATTCAAGGGCCCCATGGAAGCCTGCATAGCTAGCTGAGGTTTAAAATGAAAGATCACAACAGCAATGGCTAAGGACTACCTCACAGTAACTAGTCATTCTCCAGACAGCTAAGCTTGAACTGTTAAAATCTTAGTTTTCTGGAATGTCTTCATCAAGACAGAGGGGCCAGGACTCTGTTTCATGAAACAGGAGATGGGCAGAAAGGTGGCTCAGCAATCAGGCTCTCAGAGAAGAAAATAAAAGCATCACTCTTCATCCACATAGGCACCCTGGTGCAATTCCAAGCATCTGGAGAGTGAGTAGGATGAATGAACTGTACCCACATCTTACAGGTCAATGGTCTAACTGTGGATTTAGTAGTGGTAAGTCTACAAAACCAGTAAGTACTTTCTCTATTTTGGAAAGGTAGGAGAGACAATATGTCAATTCAAAGGAACATTCCCATTGTTAACAAGTATTTTTGTTCAATAACACATATTTATTATCTTATATTCTTAGAGATCAGAAGTTGAAATCAGCAAGGATGTACTCCTTTCAGAGGTACTCAAAAATATGTCCTTTTTCTCCTCCAGCCTCACAGTCTGCCTACATTCACCACTCATGGCTCCTCCTTCCATCTTCCAACCAGGAACACAGCATCTTCTTATGCTTCATACCAGCTCACTACTATAAAGTTTCTTGTGGTTAGATCAGTCCATGAGGTAGTTCAGGATGGCCCCCTTCTCAGCATCAGGACCTTACTTTCATTTAAAGACTACTGGTGCCATGTGAAGTTATGTACTTTGGATGTCTTCATGATAAGACTTTACTAAAGATTACAAGAAGTGTGTTCCCAGTTATTTGGAGATGTAGTGAGATCATTGTTACTAAAGATATTTATGTGTTTCTTATGTCCATATCTTGGTTTGTCTTTTTTTTTTTTTTTCAGGATGTTGAAGAATCACAAAACCACACTGGCAATCCCATTGGAGATGACTACAAAAAGATGGGAACACTTTTTGGTGAACTGAACAAAAACCTCCTCAACATGGGCTTCACAAGGATGTATTTTGGAGAACGAATTGTGGAACCAGTAGTGGTCGTTTTCTTTTGGCTTATGCTATGGTTCCTTGGCCTGCAAGCCCTTGGACTAGTTGCTGTTCTTTGCCTTGTCATTATTTATGTACAGCAGTAAAACATCGGACATTTGGTAGCCATGTATGTAATTGATAGAGCTATACACTTGGGCTTTTTGAAAGCCAATTGTTTGACATATTTCATATTGTATACTGGCTGTTTTGTAATTAAAATTATAAATGAGTTTCTTTAAAATGCAACTCTTTGTTATAACAAGGATGAATATATATTTTTGACTATATATTAGCTTATTCAAACTCTTTTTCACTCCTGTGATCTGACCTACCTTTAGACACCTGCTTTCCCATGCCAAATCTGAACATCACCCGACAGTGATGGGGGAAATAGCTTGGCATGGAGTTGCAGGGAAGTGATGGAGATCTTGTAAAGTTCCAATAAAACATTTTGGAAGACAAAGGAAAAAGCAGCTAAGAATAAGTTTTCATTGGAAAACTGTTCCACCCCCCTTTCCATTGAACAGTCCCATTGGGGGAAGATGTTTGTTTCTCTGTCATCTCTGCATCGTCCAAAACAAAGTAAATGGTAGCTGCCACATACCGCCGTAGTGCCGTGCTGTTTCCAGAAGACTGAAAATAATATATTTATTATTGGCGGTGAAGTTTTGGGGTTAAATGTAAGTTTTTATGTGTTATACTTAGGCCCCCATTACATGGTTTGTAAAGTTAGAGTTGATTCTGGTGCTCATTTCTTTGTGTGAATTTTTAAGGCTGCACACCTGGCAGTGCCTGTGATTTGTACCTAGCCAGTTGCATGTTTTTCCTAGAGACATTTTCAGTGCATTTGTTTCCAAGGGTTTATAATTTTATAGTTCTTTTCTAACAATTACTCGAAGGTTTAAAACAATGCCTTTCCTGTCATGGCATGGAGTTTGTCCCCAAGAGAATGATTTCTATCTTATAAAAGATAAAAAAAGTCAGATCATTTTTCTTTGATACCTGTATTGAAGAATACAAGAGTACAGAATAAAACCACATGCTTAAATTAAGAACTCGGTAGCCACTTGTAATATTCTAGGATTAAAGCCATTGGCTAGCCAGGTTTTTAATGTGTACTATGGGGTTTTATATTGAAACAAGCATTTCTTTGTATATACTTTGAAAATGAAAAATGACTTTGATATGTCTGGTTTTGTTAAAGAACCTAAAATCTGTACACTTTTGTCTAAGAGTCATCTATTTGAACAAAGAAATTTAAATACAGAAATGGGGCATCGAGGTATTTTTGTTTGGCAGGGCATTAACTAAAGCAATAGGGTATTTACTAGGCCACTTTGTAAAGTTCTTATTCTTGCAGTTTTAAACATTATTCTGTAAGAAATTCTGAAACAGAAAATTATGAAAACATTTAGCTTAGCTTTCTAAAATCAATTTTGCACAAAAAATAAATAAATAAGAAAGCAGGAATACTAACATGTATTGTGCACCTGTGTCTTGTGCATATAAACATAGGCTCTAAAATTTGGCTTTTGAAAAACAAAAGTTTGTACTATATCATGTTTTTATTGTATTGACAATATTTTTGTAATCACCTTCCTGAGTTGAATATGGATGCAGGGTGTTTGGGAAAAGGTCCCCTTTGTATACAGTAGGATTGCAAGGTTCTGACAGAAGCCATGAGATTCTGCATATGTGCACAAAATGCTAATGAGTACATTTTTCTCTAGTGCTACCAGGAAGGCTAATTTCCTTTTGGAATGCAAAATAAAAGAGGCAGTGTACATAATAACAGCTCTGGTTCTACCAGTGCTGCTTGTTGTAAATGCTTTAAAAGAAGACCTAGTGTTTATTATACAATCCCCCATCAACACTGTATGTGCCCCCTGGTGTAAATGGGTATGCTTTATGAAGAAATAGGGTGAGTTTGCTGCTATCACCTTCACATACACTATGGATTAATGTAGTATGCCATCAAAGTTTTTGCTTGGTATTGATAAGAACCTTGATATAAAGTATTTTTCTCTTGTTAAACGTGTTAGAACACAGATTGTAGTATTATCCTGAAGTGAAACATAATTTCTTTGGTTCATGGTATAAAAAAAATGATTCAATTATTTCAATTTTAATTGTAAGTTATAGCAAGATTTCTTATAAACCAAGAAATAGCAGATAAATGCTAATAAGGTCTTCCAACTGCTGGTGTGCACGATGCCCATACTGTTAGCCTTGTGTTGGAAGGAGAGGTCAGGAGCTAACACCAACTGACCACAGTCAGTAGATCCATTCTCTTTGAACTGAACATATTTTGTACAACTCTTTTTGTGTTAAGCTGCCATTCTAGTCGAAACAGAGTGCATTTGTACACAGGAGCCGCTCGCACTGGCTGACAAGAGCCTACACTGTATGTTTTTCTGCCTTCAATGACATCAAGTTGGGTAGATTAAATTGGCTCTGTGATGAGAATGTTTACATCATAAAATCTGGCAAGCACTACAAAGAAGGACTATTTTATTTTCCTAGAGAGCCAGTTGTTAAAAACCTCAGCATATTCCCAATCAACCACCCTGGAGGCCACATTTCCATGGCTACCACAGTCTTCAAAGAAAAGAAGACAACCCATGTTCTGAAACAAGAGAAGTACATGAAGTATGTCCCCACATACCCAGCCAGAGCCACTTCTTTTCTCGGTGGTGGACCATGGTTGTCTTTGAAGTATGTCTCATTGAACATTTTGATGAGAAAAAATCTCTCGGGGCTGTCAGTGAGCTGCAGACCCACAAAGGACTAGCCAGGAGACCAGGAAAGGGAGACAAGACTTAAGGCACTACAATTTTTGGTTTAAGTAAAGGCCAGTTGTAATTTAGAATCTAAAAATATAGTCAGATCCAGGCAGTGAGAAATCCAGAGATCTTTGGTTTATAGCTTCTATTTAAGCTGTTTCACAAATGTTTGTTAACTACAGATTATTGAAACTGCTTTTGCCTTACAAAGTGAACAAAAGGAAAAAATCAAATTATGCTTTCAGACTTATTAAAACCGTAGTAAATACTTGGCTAGGACAAATGTACAAATTAAAGAATACCCAGGTCAAGGCTTTGGTGTTATGGGTGGATTTCCTTTTGTAACTACTGTTTTTCTGCCCAAGATTTAAAGGTTTTCCTTGGAGGTCAGACGAGCAGCCTGATCTCTCATCCCTCCACAAGTCTCCTGGTTGTTGCTATTTGTCTACTCAGGGCTCCTCCATCTGCATCTCCAGGTCAGAGCACTGGGAAGACTAGAAGATCCCTCTGTTTAAGGGCTGGCTTGCTAGCTTGCTTACAAGTTCCTCAAACTCAGCACATTCAAAAAAAGATTTACCTCACCATCTTTCTCCATAGTCTTTTCTTTGCATTCCCCTGCCCTTCAGCATTGGCACAATCCTCTCCCCAGCTACTGAGAAGGAACTGTAAATATAATCTTTAGCTCCTGTCTCTCCCATACTACCCACATACAACCAATACCAAGTCCTATCTATTTTGTTTCTAGTAATGCCATTTATCTTTCTACTTCTTGTAGTTCAAATTCTAATTGGTCATAATAATAAAAACCCAGAGTCAGCTATCGGAGTAAATGCTGAAAGATCAGAGAAGTAACAGAGCCAGCCACTAGAGAGACTGTTTTATAAAACCATCTTTTCTCGTGCTAATCCCAGTTCCCACTCCCTCCCCTCCTCCTGCTTCCCCCACCTTCCTCCTACCCTATCCCCCATCCACTCCTAAGAGAGGGTAAAGCTTTCCATGGAGAGTCAAGGAAGTCTGGCAAATCACTTTGAGGCAGGACCAATGCCCTCCCCACTATATCTAGGCTGAGCAAGGTATCTCTCCAAAGAGAATAGGCTCCAAAAAGCCAGTTCAAGCACTAGGGATAAATCCTGGTCCACTGCCCGTGGCGCCACAGACTGCCCAAGCCACACAACTGTCACCCACATTCAGATGGCCTAGTTTGATCCTATGTAGGACTCCCCACTGTCAGTCCAGAGTCAATGAGCTTTTACGTCTACCAAAGGGACAAGATCCTGTCTCCACAAATCCTCAGACTGAATGTAATGAGCTCCTGTCTACTGCCTTATATTCCTCTCTCTGCCCAGCCTTATCACTCCTGTCTCCACCTTCCTAGTGTGGGATTCAAGGTGTGTGACACCACTGCCTGGCTTCTATAGCTAACCAGTGGCTTAGCTCCCCACTCTGATCTTCGGGCAATCTTTATTTGTTATATCACAAACAAAATGTCACAACTTCTCTTCATTCCCAGAATCACTCACAGTCCATGCAGTCATCTTCTCACCTGGGAGAATCCTCACCTCTGAGAATCTTAATTAGTCTCCCTACCTTCATTGCCCACTCTGTAGTTAGCAATATTATTACTTTGATCTCCTTGATTTCAATGTTTTTAATGACTTCTTGTTGCTGATATGGCAAAACCTATATTCTATAATACTTATGTTGCCTTTCATGAACAATTATTCTTCCCCACCTTATCTTTCCACGTCACTACACTTTCCAAGACTCAGCTTCACTAAATGCTTTCATCGGTTTCTTGAGAGAGACACATTCTCTTCCAGAACTTTCTATGTGCTTTACTCTCTTCAGCCCCTACCCCTACCCCAACTGGCCAACAACTACCTGGCGTACTCAGCTTACATCTTTTAACTTCCCCCTTTAAGTCTACTTGGACACCTCGTGTGCTTGGTTCCCTTTTTATGTAGAAATTGATCAACAGTACTCATGCTATACAGCCTATTTGTCAGTTTCTTTCATTAGATAAAAGGCTTCACATGGGCAGAGAACATGTCTGTCTGTCTATAGTTACATTGCCAGTGCCTACCAGGACACCTGGCATGTAATAGGTTTGCAAAATAATTGCCAAATGAGTGAATCAACCTCATTTATTTGCATTCTCTCTTTTGTCCATTTACAAAGGACCACATAGATAGTGGCTGATGGCTCTGTGGTAGTGTGCTTGCCTTGCATGCTTAAAGCCTTCGGCTCCTTCCCCAGCACTGAGAAGGAAAAAAAAAAAAAAAAAAAAAAAAAAAAAAAAAAAAAAAGGAAAAAAACTTCTGCAAGTCAAAATTCTTTGACTCCAAAAAGAGATCGGTTGGGTTGTATATTATAACATTTATTCCCTTGAGTACTATTACATACATTCACATTTTTAGGAGAAAATGTATTGTTGATGCCATGTTTGGTTGAGTAACTATTTCTCAAGAAAGAATATTTTATAATAGATATCTTTACTGATGGTACTAAAATTTCATTCTACCAATATTTTTCAATCAGGTTTTATCTGCTAAATTTAAATTTTTTTCAAAGACAACTTTAAAGCAAGAATTTCCAAATATCTAATCTTGATATTTTAGGCTCTAGAACAAGTTCACCATTCCACTTAGCCCAGTAGCCCAAATATTCTAGGTTAAATAATGAGCTCACAAAGTACTTTGCTAATCTTTCTAATAAACAATATTGTTTTCCAACCCAACATTCTCAGCATTTCTTCTGTCTCCCTGTGCCGTATGCTACTCCTCAGGTAATTACTACCACATCAGGTTTGGAAATTGCCAGAGTAACAGCACACCTGAGGCAGAGTAAACTGTACCTACTCAGGTGGCCTGCAGCTGGAGCAGAAAGTCAGAGCCTGACTTGTTTGTATGTGTGTGGCCCTTAATACAGCAGAAAAGAAAGGAAACTGAAGTCAGGATCTCCATGCTGTGTATATTCTTTCTGTTGATTTGGCAATTGTATAAATTAGAATTCTGGAAGAATTCTAGAAGCCTGGTGAGGTCTATAACGGGCATTCATATGCTTAGTAAATCTGAGCTATCTTTGCAACAATTAACATCTTAATTTAACCTTCAATAGCTGGAAGTTTTCTTTCAAATTTCCCAGAACATTGGAGAGTAAAATGACTTATGAGTATGAATCTTTACCTGCATGTTATAATCATGCAACTTAAACCATAAGTTGACTTAAGAAGAGAGTTAATTATTCTTCTTTAGGGGAATATGTAAAAACACTGCCCTTGCTTGAGAATATACATCATGTACTGAAAGCCCTTCTTTGGTTCATTACAGTCACTTTGTTAATAAGCATTCTTGGTTTTAGGTATGTAATATTAAAAATAGCCATGATACATTCTATTAGCTAGTATATTTTCTGTTCGAAGGCATAAGCATATGTGTATAAGTACAATACAAAAACAAAGGCTAAGAAGAAAAAAGGAACAATTCTCCCTTGATGTTTGTTTGGAAGATGGTTTTAGTTAAGGTTTCTATTGCTATGAAGAGACACCATGACACTCTTATAAAGAAAAACTTTTAATTGGGGCTCACTTACTGCTCAGAGGTTTACTTCATTATCATCATGGTGGAAAGCAAGGTAGTATTCAGGCACACAGGGTGCTAGAGAAGGAATTGAGAATTCTTACATATTGACTCA